ATTTGTGAAAATTGCACTTGGACCAATAAGCCCCAGAAGCATTTAATTGCGTATCTTCCTCCTTTCTTTTGCGAAAATTGCCAATATGATCTTCTTAAAATGGTAAGCACATATGTCCTTGTAAATTAATTTATGGTATTGAGCTTCATATGTGCTGAGGATATGTAGTGGACGCAGTTTTCTGTAATTTCTAGTTTGGTAATAGTGATTAGTGCAAGTAAGTATGTAGTTCTATTATGGCTGTTTCCTTTTTGCCCTTGGACATTTTTTTTTCATGCGAGTCCCTACTGTCATCTAATTTTCCAAAGTATTTTAGGGTAATTATGAATTTTCATTTTCAATGGCTGATGTCACTGTAAACGGCTTTTCACCAATTGGCAATATCAAGGATCAAGGAAATACAGGTGTCTTCCTGGATTGCATTTGTCTGATTTATGTTCTTTATTTTATGACTGTTTGCTTCTAGTTTGCTTATGATGTTTTCTATTTGATTTAGATCATTGCACAGTGTATTCAACCAATCAGTGTCTTGAGATAACAGATAGGATGTCAAAGATTCTAGTTGGTAAAGAACCTGAAGGGGTATGCAATGAAGGGCCTATTCTTTCTACAAAGGATCTTTTAGCAAAGACCGAAGATATGATGATAAGGTGTAACATCAATCAGAGGAAGGGGGATCATAAATTTAACCGCAAAACCTTAGTCGTAGCATTTGAGGTTGCTGAAGCTGAAGGCGTGAACGTAGTATTGACAAAAGTCGAACAAGTACGTGATGCGTTCTTGTTGCTTGTTTTACATGTTTGGTCTTGGTTCTTTTTTTAGTTTCTGTTTTGATATATATTGTGATGTGATTTCAATGATTCTATCTCAGGATAATGAGATGAAACCAAGGACTGTCAAAGCTTTGGGTAAACAGTTTGTGCCCTGCGATTTTGCTAGCATAGCCCAGAAACTTGCAGATGGTATCCCTCAGGTTGGCAGCTTTCTTTCGGGAAAGAAGTTGTACAACCTTAAGCATGGTCAGATATACAAGGCCCCAGGGATGCCAGAAGACGAGAATCACAAAAAAAAGGTGGTATGGCATGCTGTTGTTCTTATTGGGGCAGGCAAAAGAAGAAAGAAATATTTTTATCATTTTGTGAACTCACTAGGTGTTAAGTTTTGCCTGAGGATACCTATAAATCCATCTCCAAGACCTAAATCCACATGGGTTGGAGGAGTCCAGTGTGGAAAGTCTAAACAGTTTCCGGGTGGATTTGGGAAGGTTCGCGCCAGTGATGTCATGCTGGATACATTGCAATTTGTTAGATATCCAGACTCCAACACACAGAAACAGCCTTGGCTCTCGTTTAATTACTGTGCTGTCCGTAAGTTTTGATTGAGCTTTGCTCCTTTTGTTTGATCATATTGGTTTCCTTGTGTGATACTTCATATTTGTTTTCATAATTTAAGCCTGCTGAAGGATTAGCATATGCCCAACGATTGAAGTTGGAGTTAGTATTGGAGTTGCTCCCATGTACTGTTTTGCTTTGCATGTTAGTTGGTAGACTAGTGTTACACATGCATGTGGACTGGCCGTACATCTTTCATGAATACTATAATGATATATCTTGGCAACAGAAAGACAACACCAGAATAAGAAGCCCATATTATGAATATGTTTTGTTTTTCCATTCAACTTTCACTTTTGGCATGAATGTAATTTTGAACATAAGCTGGAAAAAAACCCATATCAGTTGAAATATTCTAGTTAGTATGTGGCTTCTCTGTTCTTCAGAGAGAGCGATAAAATGCCTTATATGATTTTGGTAGTGTATTTTGGCTGAATGTTTGAATAGTATGTGGCTTTTATGAAGCAGGTTGAAGTAGGCAGCCAGAAAGCTTCAGTTAGTGGTTCCCAGATTTCGGATGCTGGACCTTCTGAAATGGATTTACCAAGAGTTATCTGACTTCACATGAACAACCAGCAATATCTGTATCCGAGGCCAAACGCGGCACTTCATTATTTCTTGCACTTCGCACAAAGGTAACCTCATGGGAATACTTTATTGTCTCTTTATTTTATTGGAGAGGTAGTAAAATCATTTTGCCTTGTTCCAGAGACCCACTCTTCTCCAACAGCTGTTCAATGTTTATGAATACCTCATATGTCATCTGATTTACTTGTGCAGTGACCATGCTAATGCTGCAACATTTGCAATATTGTTTTGATGAAATGGTGGGGCAAAATTGCGAAGGATTCAATTCCGAGGAGAAAAAAGCTTGACTGCCAGCATGAAGATGAGCGATTACCTCAGAGCAGCCCTAGGAGAAGGAATCCATGTCTGGTTTTGAAAACAGAACAAGCAGAAGAAAAAAAAGGTGGTGTACAGTCTTGTTGCTTGATTGTTTGATCAAGTCTATCCGGAGTACTGAGTACGTGGCCTCTATAATTCTCGAATGCTTGTTATGTGTCCTTGGGCATCTTAATATTTGATATGGCGTCGAGCCAAGTCGCGGAGCAGTAGCTAGATTTCTTGTTTTCAGAAAGTGACTGGACTTCTCATTGCTCAAATATAATCTATTTCATTATGTCTTACCTGAGATCTCACGTTGTAGTGAAACGTATATGATGGTCAAATGTCAAAGCCTAATATGTTTAGGAAGTATGCGACCATCCGCATCATTCAAAACCCTGGCGTGTGTGCAAGTACACTGATGCAGTGACTCGTGTGACACATTAGCAATGCTGCCCCCTCTGTGCAAGTACACTACTTTTTAAGATTTCAATGTGAATTACATATGAAGCAAAATGAGTGAATTTTAAAAGTTTTAAAGTATGTCTATATACATTCGTATATAGTCTGTATTAAAATCTTTAAAAAGGACAATATTTAGTCACCGAGAGAGTACAAGCCAAATGCGTCAACCAATGTTTGGCAAGCCTGTTGGTTTTGCTTAATGTGCAAAGGTGGGTGGTTGACAATATATAGTACTAGTACCAAAAAAAAAGTAGTACCAAAAGTACAATCCAACCAGTATGTTTGCTAGGAATATTATATTGGATTTCTCAATATAAAAAATATGGGTAAGTCTCAAGCCGCTTATATGACATTTAGGTGTCTTTTTAGAGAAAGCCTTGATGACGCACTTTATTATTTGGCAAGAATAGTTAGATCATTTGCAAGAACATCAGGGATATAACTTTTGGGACAATTGACAGATCTCCCTTGGCACGACTAGCTAAAGTGTGTACCACAGTGTTACCTTTTTAGGATTAAACTCAAAGAATACATGATAAAAAAAAACCCGAGCCAAAAAAGTACATTCTTCATAGGTTGCTACTTGACTTGCTCAGTTCCCTCCTACCTGCA